GCACATAATACCGTTATAATTACATAAGGGAAAGAAGATAAGTTAGAATAATAGTTTAAAAGTGATGACTCACAAAAGCCTTATTTGCCATACCATTTAAAAAAGATTGACATGTCTAGGAAATATTTGAGGTAAACCCCTAAACTACTCCTTATTAATTGTACCTTTCTATTTAATACCTCAACTGTGATTTCTTTTTAGGCATATTCTTTTAGGTCAAAACCCTCATTTTTCTTTAAATAGAATCTGAAGTTGTCTTCTAACTCTTCACTTTTGCTACAGAAGGAAAGCATTTTTAAATTTATCATAGGTCTACGCATTTATCAAAATAATTACCATTGTTTACCATTCAATGGAACAGTCTCTAAACTGGGGCACCACATTCACAAGATGGACTCATGTGATTTGTGATTGTGTGCTTTTTCTTAGATTGCTACCGTTTCTGTTTTACCAACCATGGAACCTAACCTGCTGCACACGTGCTAGAATGCACTGTTTAATGACATTTTACAAGTAGATGGAGCACACTTTCATTTTTTACACCCAACCTGTCAAAGAATGACTTTTGTGTTCTCCCCTGTCATAGCCTTCTTGTCTTGAAGTCTTCCATTCACCATGGATTCCTATAACATGGGCTGAATTTACTCTTTCTAGTCATTTTTACCCAATCTCATACCATAGTGGTTCTAATATTTCCAGTCTAATCTACGTCAGAAATACTAGAATTTTATGTTCAATTTTTGACCATGGTTTAAAGCAACAGGTAGACAAACTAGATATAGAAGCAATGAGGTATTAAAAAAGAGAGCAATACTGATCTAAAAACAAATCCTGGCTGTGTCACTTCCTAGCTGGGTGACCTTAGGAAAGGTGCAAGGATTGGAGAGAGTGGTGAGAAATAATACTTATTGAGTGCCTATTTTGTGTCAGGTACTTTACACGTATCATCTTATTTAATACAACAACCCTATAAGTTCTTTTATCCCTACATTTTTGGTTTCTTTTCTTATTCATTTATTTTTTAAAGATTAACAACAGACACGTTCAAAATCTAAAGCTCAAGAATTCAAATAAGTTGCCCATAGCCACAGAGCCAGGATTTAAATTCAGGTCTAACCCTGACGTTCAATAAATATTAGTTCTCCTCCCCCCAGGGAAAGTACAGAGAATGGCAATTTGTATCATAGAAAAAAAAAATAGATTTTATGTGCAGAAGTTGAAGAACTTAAGTTTTTTAGCATAAAATGAAGTTTTAATTACTATTGTTAAAATGTGGAAACTCTCTAAGGAGTATGTTGAACAGTTATTATCTGTGTCCATAAAAAACACTTAAAAATTAAAAGCAGTAGAGGGCCGGCCCGGTGGCGCACTGGAGAATGCGCCGCTTGGGAGTGTGGCGGCGCTCCCGCTGAGGGTTCGGATCCCATGTGGAGACTGGTTCCCGCTCACTGGCTGAGCGCGGTGCGGGCGCAACACCGAGGGTTGCGATCCCGTTGCTGGTCCCTGGTACGGGCGCGACGCCGAGGGTTGCGATCCCGTTACCGGTCAGTAAAAAAAAGACAAAAAGGAAAAAAAAAATTAAAAGCAGTATAGGCAACACCGAGGGTTGCGATCCCGTTGCTGGTCCCTGGTACGGGCGCGACGCCGAGGGTTGCAATCCCGTTACCGGTCAGTAAAAAAAAGACAAAAAGGAAAAAAAAAAATTAAAAGCAGTATATCAGAGGAAGCAAATAAATGATTTGTTTTGTAAAAAAATAGAATTAGAGCTAGCTTTTGTTTATGCCATATTTTTGAGATCCTCACCTGAATAACAAGCACATCACGGAAGAAAGAACAGAGAGGAAGCTGGATCTCCCTGAGCCTCAGCTTTCCTATCAGGTTATACAACTGTACTGTTTATTATTTCTGGCATTTTCCTATGCTTCAAAAAAAAGTGTTGACAATTTTCTGCATCTATAATATTTTGGATGAGCAATTTCCATCCTATTGTTTTCCCTCACATATGGTGTTCTAGCTTAATTAGCACTGATATTTTTAACTTGCACAATATTGTAAACTACTTTGAATTATTCTTCGTTGACAAGTATCCAAACTACCTATCACAAACAAGAAAATTACACATATTATTTAGGCTAGTGTGTTCATTGATTTTTCAGACATAAATTTTACAGTAGATCATTGTATTCACATCTGGAAGAGATCTTAAGGATGATCAAAGCTCGCTACCTCTTTTTACAAGTGAGAATCTATAGCACAGAGACGTTTAAGTTTCTCTCCCAGCTCAGATAGTAGTAAAAACCACCAATAGCAGTTCATTGCATTTTCTGTACAAAAAAGCCAATAATTATTTTAAAATCCACATCAATTATGCAGTGCCTGCAGAATATGTACCAAAAATAAATAATTGGCACATTATTATAATACTACATTATAATCAGTACTAAAATTTAACATTTGTGACTATCAGTTATATAATGCTGTTATGTAACATTGCTGTTTGGTTCACAATTGTTTCCTATATGTCTTGTGTCCCTAACTGGACCGTGACTTCCTTTTGGTAGGAAAAAATTTTTTTTTAATTTTTAATGTTTCTCATAGCCTTTAATAAATCCTAGACATATATCAACTGCTCAACAGTTGGAAAGAGATTGACACATATTTATATTTTAGACTAATACTATATTGCTCAAAATAGAGATAACTCTCATCCTACATGGATGCAGATGAATTTGTTGGTTTGAGAGGGAGAAAGCTGAGAAGATGCCCTAATTTCTTCTGATCAAGCAGTTGAGACTGACCCGGACAGTAAGTGGTTATAGGAGCTTGAAGAGATGATGAAGGTTGAAACAGAAATTAGAAAGAATAAGAGAGTTGACTAAACCTCATGTACATGTGGTAACATATGCAGATCAAATTGCTCAGTAAAAATAATATGACCAAGCACTTACTAAGAATCAGGCACTGTTCTCAGTGTTCTCCCTGTGTTAAATCATCTACACGTCACAACAACCCTAGTTATTTTTCCCATTTTGTGGATGAAGAAATTGAGGCTCTAGCGAGCAAGTGGTGGAGCGGAGATTCACTTACTGCTACGAGGATTTAGCTCCTAGTCACAGTTTAATGGTTAGGATAAAACCAGCACCCCTATTTTCTGGTTTTCAACCCACTCTCCCTGTTGGGAAAATAGAATAGTTTGGTCAGGGCCCTCAGCTCGGGTCCAGTTGGGTGTGGTTCAGCATCCTTTGTGAGCAAAGTGTGTGCGTGTGGAGTTGGTGCACATGTGCACCAATGTATCTTTTTAGTCTTGTTGCTATTCTTGTGTTCTTTAGAGAGAGAGAAGACAGAGGAAGAGAGAGAGAGGGAGAGAGAAAGAGAGAGGGAAGGAGGGGGAGGGGGAGAGGAAGAGAGAGGAAGTAGGCGGTGTGTGTCTGCCTCGGGGTGTCCGCCCCTTGCAGCCATGCTTTCCAACCTATGGCTCTAAGTACCTCTTCGCCAGTTACCTAGCTCATAGACCTGAGTGTGAAGGGGTCTGGTGGCCCAGCCTGGAGTATGAAGGGTTTGGGACCCAGTCTGTGAAGGGGCTTGAGGGGTCTGGGAGCTCCAGACCCAGCCCTAGCTCAACAATCGGCCCAAAAGAGCCACGACAACTACTATGGTCGAGTAGCTTTACACTCCCCATACTTATTTACCCACCCCCACCTTACTCCCCAAACACACATACACACGCACACACACCACACATTCACACACTCCAGTCTTTAACAACAAAATCCACAGTCAGGTACCTAGGTCACTAGGTGTCAATTCATACACTCTTCTTCCTGACAGGGCTTGATCTCACATATGTAAAATGAGTCCTATGACCAAACTCCACTTTGCCATATTTCTCCAAGGTAAATGTAAATATACACACTAATACTGACTCTACGTTATACAAGGGTACTTCAAAAGCTGATGGAAAAATGTAATTAAGAGATAATACGAATCCTTAAGACATGCACATGCATAGCCTGATATACAGCAGAATTTGACTCAATAAAGACTTTTCTTTTCCCATTATCCAGGGAAGTGCAAAAGAGTTGGTTGCCATGACAGATGCCAAAGACGTTTGGCTCTGGTAGTGGAAACTGGGAGGCAATGGTGAAATGAGGTAAGAAATTCCAGGGCCACAAGGTGGACACAAGTCATCAACGGCTTTTCCCAGGAGTTTGTTCTTTTTGGGTAAGTGCTACACACACAAGCCCCAACCCGCTGTCTGATTCTGAACCCTGCTCAGGCTGGAGCAGATGCACACACAGCGGGGAGCCTCGCTTGCAAGAGATGAATGTTCCCTTGCTCTATTTTAATCCTCGCCTCCAGGCCGGGGTGGGTTTTGTCAGAAATTGTGGAAAAGTGACAGCCAGGCTTTCTCATGCAAAGGGTAGGGAGCCCCGGATCAGCGAATCACGACTTGCACAGTATTTAATGGTCACAGGAAAACAAGTTTCCTTTCTGCTGGCCCGCATTTTCGGGGCCAGCTCAGGCAGCTGTGGCAGCGACGTCCTGCAGGGCTCTGGAGAGCAGACGCTGTGGAGACGCGGGCACCGCCACCCCTGGCACCGGAGCCGAGGGCCGTGGGGGAGGCTCCAGAAATGGTTCCTCGCTGATCCTCAATGACCCAGTCGGCCCTGATAAATATCCCCCCCAGCCCTATAGGGGGAAGGGCAAATTCAAACGCACGTTGTCCAGCTCGGGGCGAGTCCGGAAGGAGGGCCGAGAAAGCCAGCCAGCCGCCCCCACCCACCCGCCGCGCAGCCGCGGAGCACACCGGGGTTACTGCGCTTGCGCGCTCCGGGGCCCGCCGCCACGCCCCTTTCAGAGGCCGAGCGCCCGGGGGCCTTCGTCGCTTAGCAACGGACCAGTCATAGTCGCCGCGCTCAGCGCGCCCTTTTCCTCGCAGGGAAATGTCCCTGTTCTTCCTGTGAGGCTCCTCGCTGCCTCGTGCCAGGCCATAGGGGCCCATGGAGGGAAAGGAGGAAAAGCAGCAGTAAGTGCTGGGGTTTGGTTTTTTATACCCCTTCTGAAAAATATTTTCCTCCTGCAGGAGGAGACTTAAGTGAGATCTGAAGGTGGGTCCCCAGCATGGACCATCGAGGCCAAACCTTATCTGACCCCCTTGTTACCTCTGATTGCTAGTGGCTGAGCACGTCCAATAATAATTTAGTGAGCACATGCTGTGTGCCAGGGACCTTACATGCATTGTCTGGCCTAAATTCTTGAAGTCACCTTGTAGTCATCCACTCCTCACACCCGTCTAACTTCTTAGCAAATTCTGTAGGCTTTACCTTTCAAAACATCCAGAATCTACCACTTTTCCTCTATCACTTCCTCTATCATCCCACGCTGTCCCAAGTACCGTCCTCTCTGCCTGGATACTGAGGTAGCCTTCCAGTTAGTGGCTTTGCTGCTTCTCTTGCGCCTCGCAGCTTCCTCAACACAGCAGTCAATGTTATTTTTACAACGTAAGTTAAACATTAGTCTCCATCTGGCATCCCGGAGTAAAAGCCAGGGCTCCTACCATGGCCTACGGGTCCAACACAACATGCCCTTACCCTCACTTGGCCTTACCTACTTCTTGCCTCCCCGACTGGACCCTGCTCCAGCACACAGGCCTTCTTGCAGTAATTCTCGAATGCTTGCCAGACCAGCATTAGCGTCACCTGGGAACTTGTTAGCAAATTCTCAGAGGCTCCCCACTCCAGACATACTGAATCAGAAACTGGGGGTGGACCTAATAATTCTGGCTTTCACAAGGCCTCCAGGTGATTCTGATGTGCCATGAATTTTGAGAACCATTGAATCAGGGTACAGCTAGTTAAGAGTGATGTGGAATTAGGGGTACCTGCTCCCAAAGCCTGTATTTTTATCTCTAGGACAGTGGTTCTCAAACTTTAACGTGCCTAAGAATCAGCTAGAGTGCTGGTTAAAACAGGTTCCTGGGGACCAGGCCCAGAGATTATGATTTAGTAGGTTGAAATGGGGTCTGTAAATTTGTATTTCTAACATGGTCACAATTGATGCCAGTGCTGCTACTCCAGTCAGCACACTTTGAGAAGCACTGTTCTAAGGACACGCACACTTACGCTGCAGAGTTTTGGCAGTTGCAGTTCATACTTGGAATACCCTTCCCTGAAATATCCACTTAGCTCTCTCCCTCCCTTCTTTCTTTTTTCAACTGCCATTTTTACAATGCAGCCTCTGCTCTATATAAAAATGCAGGCTACCTCCCACATACATACACTCCCTTTCCACATTCTCTGCTTTAATTGTTGTTCTTAGCACTTAACACCATGTGACAGACTATGTATTTTACTTTATTTCTCATCTGCATTCCCCCAGTAGAATGTGAGCTCTGTGAGGGCAGGAATTTTTGTTTGTTCTGTCACAGTTGTATCTTCAGTTCCTCAAACAGCACCTGGTACACAATTCAATAAATATCTGTTGAAAGAATGAATTATTTAATGTTATTCTCACATCTCTCACAATAGGTATTATTGTCCTTATCATGCAAGTGAGGAAACCAAGGCTCAGCTATTAAATTGCAGAGCTGGGATTCCAATCCAGGTCTGCCTCACTTCAGACCCCTTAGTGTTTTTATCTGTGTTTTCCTAGTAGTAAGATATTACTACGGAATCATATATTTCATATTTATATATCAATGTATGGCCATCCACACCATAAGTGCTTAATCAGATGAATTCATGAATATGCAAGCAAATAGCCTTTCCTTCAAGGATCTGATTCGAGTACAAGTGTATTGCTGGGTTACAGCTATGAGAAACAGATCAAAAAAACTGGTGCCAGGGCCAGCCCGGTGGCGCACTGCTACAGTGCGCCGCTTGGGAAGCGTGGCGGCGCTCCCGCCGAGGGTTCAGATCCCACATACAGACCGGCCGCTCACTGGCTGAGCGAGGTGCGGGAGCAACACCGAGGGTTGCGATCCCGTTGCCGGTCCCGGTCCGGTACGGGCATGACACTGAGGGTTGCGATCCGTTGCCGGTCACGAAAAAAGACAAAAAGGAAAAAAAAAAAAAAAACTGGTGCCAGAAGTCTACAATGATAAATTAACCCAAAAGTCACCACCTTTGAATAAATACTTATATCTCTGGAAAAGCAATAGAAAAGTCTTAGAAGTTATTTACACTTTACCTGTAATCAGTTGTTCCAAATTGTTTGCAGAGAGCAATTTTTGTTGGGAAGCAAGGAACTAGAATCCAAAGATTCTGAATATTGTTTGTATGCGTACTCGGGTAAGGGTTGAGGCTACACAGCTAAAACAAAGCCAGAGTAAAAACAATTCCTGCAGATTTGCCAGAAATATGCAAATATTATATTAACAATCCATTTACTTTCTATGACCAGGACATTTGTCAGGATGTTGGGTACATAATGGTGAATGAAACAATCTACACCTTCATGGAACTTATTGACTAGTAAAAGATATTTGTAGTGCTTACTAAAAGCAAGTGACCAAAAAACTAGGTACATAAAAAAATTGTGGTGTTACAAAAATAGACAAAGTACTAAAATAGAGAATAAATGAGGTAGGGAGGGGGAAATCTAGGAAAAGCTGCTGAGGAGATGACTTTTAAGCTGAGATCTAAATGAGAATGAGCCAGCTGTGCAGGGAGCTGGGGATGAGCTGTCCAGACAGAGGGAACAGCATGTGCAAATGCCATGAGGGGAGAAAATATTGATGTGTTCCACGAACTGAAAGAAGGCAGGCTGACTGGATGGAGAAGTGAGAGGAGAGAAGCTTGAGTGAGGTTGAAGAGATTAGCTGAGCAGGTCATACAGGACCTAACAGCTACAATTAGGAGGGAGTATTTGTTGTAAATGCAATGGAAACCCACTAGTGGGTTTTAAATGAGAAATAACATGATGGAAGAGATGGCCCTGGCTTTGGTTTGAAGGAAGGTAGGTGTTAAATTTTAAGGGCTATGTATAAGCCTAAACAGAACTACTCACTTTATAAGTTTGGAACCTAATTGACTCATTTGTGGGGTCACAACTTTTACTTTAAAAGCTTCTATGTAAAAAGTATTCAAATTCATATATTTCATTCTTTATGTTTAAAGTATGTGAAATTTTAAAATACTGCCTTTTATCATTTCTACTTCTCCTTGTTTAAAAGAAAAATTCTATAAACTAAACATGTCTTTAATGTTTTAATAAAATATTTTTTTAATTTTTTCATTTCAATAATTTTCGTTTTTGTAGCAGTGTCATTATTAGAAAAAAGTGATGAGACTGAATTGACTTTTACTGCCTGCGCAGTGGTCTTTTCTTGAAAAGATAAATAATGGTGGTCAGTTGGTAGCTTTAAGTTTGCCAGCTGAACTTCTTAAATTAAATAGTTTATCTTTGTCCAGATGCCTGAGTTTACTAGATAAAGGAGGGAAAAAAAGCTATCTCATGATAATAAAACTTTTAAGGAAGAGTAAAGTTTTGCATGTAATTTAGCCACATTCATAAATTCTGCAAACATGATTTGTACGCATAATCAAATCACTACTCTTTCTTTACTCGAAGCAAATGACTTCACTGCACACTGCACTAGTATACTGTAATGAGTAATCATTATTAACCCAAATCCCTTTATCTCTTATATGATTTAGAATGAGAAGAAATTTTAATAGCACAGACCCTTGTAACTACTGACAAGCCTAAATTGTCTTGACTGATCTGTGAAATATATTTAAATCTTATTTTATGTAATTATGACTCAGTATTGAAATGTTTATTGGGGTAAATGATTTACTATTTAATTATGTTTTTCAGACAGCATAAAATAGAAGATGCTGGTATAGTGTATGTAACTGAAAAAAAAGAAGAAATCAAACATGAAAAAAAACCTGGAAAAAGCATACAACATTCAAAACCATGTGTCAGGAGAGGACGTGCATGTTATGCTAAATTCATTAACACAAATGCAAGAACATACAATGAGCCAGTTCCCTACATAGATCCCAAAAAAGGGCCAGAAAAGCAGGTTGGACAGATGTTCACTATATACAAATATAAATGTAGATTCAGAAGTTGTTTTGCAGGATAATTTGGTCACAGACTATTTAAAGGATGTGACACATCTCAGAGTAGTACTGTTTATAATCCAATAGTTAAAAGCAGTAACCTGGAACCATTCTGGCAGGTAACTTTTGCATACAAACAATATATATACAGGGAAGGGATCCAAATAATTTTTCTGATTGAGTCAGATTATAACTGCTAAGTGCTTAGAGGTTACTGAAGAAATTTCTTGGATAATACTGTATTTGTAACATATATTCTAATATAAAAATTTCCCATGATACTCAGTAATTCAGATACATTCTGTAAAATAATAGCTACCATTTATTGAAAGCATATGAAATGTTAGGAATGAGCTAAGTGTTTTATATGAGTTATATCCTTTAATCTCTGCAATAATTTCTATGATGTATTATTGAAAATACTTTACAGATAATAACACAGACTCCAACAAGGTTAATTAACATATCTGAGGTACATAGTAAGCAAATGTCACAGTCAGGTTTCTGACCCAGGACTGTGGGTTTAACCAAACCACACTCATTGACTATATTGTACAAAATATATTCCTTTTTTTTCCTTTAAAGTCACATTTGTTAAGGTGTAATTTATTGCATTAGTTTCCTATTGCTGCTGTTACAAATTACCACAGACTTAAATGCTGGCTTAAAGCAACACAGATTTATTCCCTTACAGTTCTGGAGTTCAGAAGTCCAAAGTCAATCTCACTGGCTCTTAGCAGGCCTAGTTCCTTCTGGAGGCCCTAAGGGAGAATCCATTTCCTTGACTTTCCCAGTATTCCCTTACAGTTCTGGAGTTCAGAAGTCCAAAGTCAATCTCACTGGCTCTTAGCAGGCCTGGTTCCTTCTGGAGGCCCTAAGGGAGAATCCATTTCCTTGACTTTCCCAGCTCCTACAGGCTGCCCACCTTCCTTGGCTCATGGCACCTTCCTCTTCAAAGCCAGCAACACAGCATCTTCAAGTCTCTCTCTGACTGACTCTCCTGCCTCCCTTTTATAAGGAAAGACCCCTGTGAATAGATTGGGCCACCCAGGTAATCCAGAACAATCTCCCCATTTCAAGATCTTTAATCCATCTGCAAAGTCCCTTTGCCATGTACGGTACCATATTCATAGGTTTGGCTATTAAGGCATGAAAATTGTTGGGGCTGGAGAGAGCATTATTCTGCCTACCACATTTACACAGTAAAATTCACCTTTTTTAGTATATAATTCTGTGAGTTTTAACAAAGGTATAGTCATGTTACTCTACCACAATCAAGCCATAGAACATTTCTGTCTCCCCCACAATTCCCCAGTGCCCCTATGTACTCATCCCCTTCCCCTACTCCAGCCCCTGACAACCACTGATCTGTTTTCTATAGTTTTGCCTTTTCCAGAAAGTCATATAAATGGAATTATATGAGGGTACTTCAAAAAGTTTGTGGAAAAATACAATTAAAAGATAATAGGAATCTTTTCATGAACTTTCTAAAGTGTCTTCATACAGTACGTAGCTTTTTGAATCTGTCTTCTTTCTTTCAGAATAATGCATTTGAGATTGTGTGGCTGTGTGTATCACTAGTTCATTCCTTTTTGTTGCTACTATACATTTGCTATGTGACTTTGGGCAAGTCACTCTTTCTAAGCTTCACTTTCCTTATCTATATAATAAGTATAGTAATTGTCTCTCGTAAGGTTTTTGTGAGGATTAAAGTAAATATTTTTGTCAGGTACTGTAGGCACTAGGGATACAGCAGTGAACAAAGTAAATGGAAAAAAATCCTATCCTTATGTGGCTTGCATTTTGATGGGAGAATAAATAAAACAAGTAAGTTGTATTAGAAAGTTAGATGGTAGTAAGGGCTGGTATGAAAGACGGGATGAGGACTGCTGGAGGCAGAGCTGCTATTTTAAATGTGTGGTGATATTTGAGTGAAGACCTGTAGAGGGATGAGGGAGTGACCACACAGGGACCTGGCAGAAGGGCATTCATCATGCACAAAGGAAGCACTCAAACATTATCTCTTAGTAGCAGCAGAATCCTAGTCTACTGCTCTCTGCACCATTGTGGGGCCTAAGGAGCCTACCATCTTCAGCTGAGAGCAGGATTCTGTGATCGAAGTCCTAGTATGGTGCTGGGCCCAGTAAGTGTTCAACAGATGGTATCCTAAATATGCCACGGCAGAGGTAGTAAGAATTTCCCATGTCAGTATTTTCCATCATGACATTTGAAGAAGGAACTGTGTGCCATCTAAACGGTCTCAGATGATTGTGGCAATGTCAGCCTGGTCCTACCCCATCCCTGCCAGTGAGTGAGTAAGGTGGAGTTGTAATTTAACTTAACATTTAAGTGGAGATTATTTCTTGTGGGCTCTCTTCTGATAACATTTATTCTTGTCATAAAACAGCATACCATGGCATGTATGTGAATGTGAGATCTTCTCAGGGTAGGAATCTCTGTGGTCAAGTATGCTTTAATATCATGTAGTAACCCCTTACAATTTTAAGGCTATTTTGTTTTATAAACTTGCTCCTATATGTGTTCTTGTACCAATTATTTGAGATTTTACCGAAATTGGTTGTCATTATTAGACCAGGCCTACACTGAGGAAATAAATCTGGTACAGAAGTCCAGGTTAGTGAAGTTCTCCTATTTCTTACAAAAGCTATTCAGTGACTCTCCTGAGCTAGTGACTCTCCTGAGTAGTTCAGGGATGAATCTAAAACAAGCTTAACCAAACCTATCCTTACATTGGAGACCCTAAGGAAAAGAAGCTGGTTTGAGAACAGAAATAAGCAATGTAAAGTTTAAAAAATTAATCCCAACTGATTTTTTTTTCTTACTCCTACTTTGTAGATATCTTGAAAAAAAAAATTAACAAAGGTGTTAGAAGTTACTATCAGCAAGACTAGGTGACAGAGTAGCAGTAGAACCATTGTTCATTAGTGATGGACCTTTAAGAGATGGTGAAAATAACTTTGACCTGAAGTAAGAGCTCAGATAAGAGAGGCTGATAGTGAAGAAGGAGAGTTACAGAGAAAGACCAAGAGGCATCAGAAAGTTAAAAGTATGTTTGATTTGAGTGTGGAGTGGTGGGAATGTTCATAATTGAAAAACAAAAACAATGAACCTTAAATGTCCTCATTTTGAAGCACCCAGAGAATAATAAAGAATGCTTGTTTTACATATTTGTAAACTTTGTTCCTTTATTTAAGATGACAGGTTTGTTTTTAAAGGTTAGCTTTGTTAAGAAGAAATTATCTGATTGTTAATGCTGCCTTTAAAATAACAGTAAAGAAAATAAAGTTGCCTAATGCTTTAAATGGCATCTGATGTTTTATGTATTTTGCTAAGATAATAAATACCTTTAGACCTCAACACCGGGTTGGTTGGTTATATATATGTACAATACTTTTGAGTGAAATTGTCATTTATACATTTCTACCTAGGGGCTTAAAATTGGGGTTGTTAGAAAAAGTAAAAAGGAGTTTTAGCTCAGTTTGAAATGAAATGAAAACTAGTTTGGTTGTCTTGTATTTTTATATATAGGTACTTTAAAAGAGATTATTGTAGGTTGGTATTTCCCAACATTAAAATAAATTTCCAAAGTCAATCTGTTTTGGAAAAGCTGTATTTTTATATACCTTTCTTAGAGCTTCACAATTCACATTAGTATATAAAAGTTCCGAGAAATGCTGTGATAAACTTGTTAAATTTTGCTTATCTCACTATTTCCCAAATTTAACTATAGAAACCTCTTTTGTATAGCATCTATTAATATGCTGGAGAACTAGTGTTTTACAGAACACAGTTTAGGAGTAACTGTTATGGGAGACATGAATTGCTTAAAAAGAGAGATTTTTTTAGCACTTGGGGTATCTACAAAAAAATAGAGATGAACTTAGGTACAGTGTAACCAATATGACCATGACTGCCCTAGTGTTTGTGATAGAACTTCAATGTTTAAAGCCACTGAGCTCTACTAATAAGGTGCGATTGTCTATGTGTGGGTTTTGTCAAAAGTCCGTATTTCCTTGGGAATTCCCAAAGTATAATTTTGTGTTTCACAGATGACCACCACCACCAGCCATCTTGGCCAGGCTGCTATGGACACTGCTGTGGAGCTCAGCCTACCACCTCTTGCATTCTCTTAACTGATTTCTCCAGGATGCTCCACTTGGTTTTGCCACTTCTCCCCTGAGGATTCTCCCTTAATTTCTCAAAGAATGGAAAATAATTAATGTTTACTAAAACATATTTGAAAGCTTATGGATAACAGGAGTATAATTTACAGACTGCCTTACATTGACTTCCAGATGTGGCTAAGGGGCCTACAGTGCAACAGCCATTAGGCCTTCCAGGGACTGGGGGTTAGAGGGAGCCCTATCATCGGGAATCTCTAGGTATCTCCTGACCATGGAGCCCCATGACTATCATCATGGGGCAGAAAAGAGACAGGCCTTAGATTGGGAGGAAAGACTTCTTCCTCTCTCTCTGGGTCCAAAGTTTTGAGCTGAGAAGATCTCACTTTAGGCAGAACCCCTCTACAATCTACAAAATGTGGTCTGTCCCCTAAAGCCTAGACAAAGCCATCACACTAGGTGATTTTTCCCAGTTTGACTTATTTCGTCATAAGTAACTCTGTGTCAGCCCTCCACAATCCAATGTGAGTGATGGTACACAGAGCAATACATTTTTATCAGTCTTTCCCTTCAGTATGAGATGAAGATAAAAACAAGCCTCCATCTCTTTCTTTAATCTCATAATCTCTTATGAGAAAATGCTTGGACCAAAAAGGCACACACATGTCGTTGCATGAGCGCATACATACTCTCACATTTCCAGGAACAAACCATACTTTTCAGGCAGAGGGAAGACCATCCAGAAATAGGAGAGCTGTCAACAATATTTTCTGATCTGTAGGATTTCATTCAGCTGAAACAAAGATGTATCCAATTTATAACACTCATCAGAACACATTTATCAATTACAGAGTCTTGAAGTCACCAATCTCACTTTAGGAAAAATTGTTTATTATTTCCTTTATATTTGTAAAACTAAAGAGACCACTTTGGTAAAATTCTCTATTCAAAAGAAGTTTGCTCCAAAGGTGAGCTGATATCTTTACTTTAAGGATAGCTTTTGCATTAATACTCTTGAAAAATTTGAAGTTCACCACACGTTTTCCTAGTAGTTCACATATCCAAGAATCCTTTTTTCCAATAGCTTGGGTATTAGCAAAATAAGTTTTTGATCAAGAAAAGTAGATATAAAGTGTATGCCTTATAACCTTATCATAGAAGAACTTTCTCAGGAAAGCATACTTATTGCTAGATTTTGAATGTTTACCCTCTCCAAAACTTATATTGAAATTTAATTGCTGTACTAAGAGGTGGGACCTTTAAGAACTCTCATGAGTGGGATTAATACTGTTTTAAAAGGGCAAGTTTGATCCCCTCTTGCCCTCTTTTTGCCTTTCTGCATGTGAGGACACAGTGTTCAAAGTGCCGTTTTGGAATCAGAATTGCCAAACCTGCCAGTGCCTTGATATTGGGCTTCCCATCCTCCAGAACTGTGAACCAATAAATTTGTTCATTATAAATTACCCAGTCTGTGGTATTCTTTTATAGCAACACAAAGTGGACTAAGACACTTGCTTAGAGACTTTAATTTTACTTTTGAGATAATTAAGTTTGTGCTTATCTGGTTTTCATTCCATAGAAGATTTGATACAGCAGAAATTAGAAATTAGAAATTAGTAACACAGAAATTAAGGGTGTGCACAGATAGGTGGGGGACTGAATTGTGGCAGCACTGCTGCCTGCTAGTGATATACCTTGGAGAAGTTACTTAATCTCCTGGCAGTTTTCTCATCTGTAAAGTGGGTGTACCTACCTCGTAGAATTGTGGCAAGAATAGGTGAGATAAGGCCTATAAATACTAGACCTTTGGGCATAATAAGCACCATCATATATGTGAAGTGGAGTGGGGGAAAACTGCCAGAATCAGGCACTCTGACAACAGTAAGATGTTGTGACTATTTTCAGCCAGATAGTGAGAAGACACCATCTGTTTAGTAATCTGTTCTAGAATTTTCCTAGGATATATATCAAGCAGACTTAATCTTTTAAATTCACCATTTAGCCCATTCTAAAAAATGAGACAGTAGCTGATCTCCCTTATTCTCCAAAATTCCCTAGTTCCTAAATTTCTGTGATCTCTGCAGAAATTAACCCTGGTTACAGTTACCCATTATTTCATTATCCCTGGTTACAATTTGTCATTGGCCTAAAATCTGGCACTAATTTAAAGTAACAAAGTAAGGTCTCACTCTCTCATGAACTACTCAGGGCTTAGTTTCCTCTTTGATATGTCTCATCTCATCTTTTTTTAGTTTGAAGATAACTTCCCTTAACAAAGAATCTAAAGTTGGGTAGTTATGACTTTCAGCTCTTCACAGTGCACTTCTCTACAAATTGTTAGCCCTTCCTTGATTTCTTTCTACAAACTATTTTTTTCCCAGAAAATCTTATTTTTGCTGCTTTTGGCATATATCATGAATTTCTTCTAAGCTTCTTGACAATCTTCTGATAAGTTGACTCCATTAAATTTGTTTTGGAATTTGATATTGTGCAGCTCTTATCTTTTAAATGTGCCTGTTTTTTAGAAACTAAGCTCATTTGAGAGCTGACTCCCTATTCAGCCACATAGGTTCCTTTAGATGCTGGTTCCTTTTTGTGTCAATGTAGCCTCAATTGTATTGTCAGAATTTTACTTATTAGAATCACATATTCATCCCCCTTGTATCATATTTTTAAAGTCTTTGATTATGAAATTATACATTTTTTAAGGCAGATCTGCTTCCTTATAGCCCAAGGTAGGTGTTTGATCATGTCCAAGGTTACTTTCATTCCCTAAATATCCAAGAACTCCCAAGTGTCACAGTTGCCTTCTCCCAAGGTTCTTACTTCTGCCTGATCAACTAGTTTAATTTCTAATCAGAATTAAGTTCAATGATAGTCCCCCTCACTGCTTTCTCAACTTCTAAGAGATCAAATTGTCATCTGTGCTAAAAAAAAAATCTCTCAGTTCTCCCTTTCCTGGATACTTAGATTTTAGTACATATAATTCATCATCATTGGAGATATTTCCCCATAGAATGAAGTTTTTCAAACTGAGTCATTAGTTAATTATAAATCAATGTGAGTTTGCAGCCAGCATTGTGAAATGAAATAGTAGATAAAGCAATAGAATGGAATAGAGTAAAAAAATAGCTGAGTGCACTGCATATAGTAAGAATAAGTATTTTGTGAAACTTTTGTTTCAGTTTTATGTATGTGTAGCATTTTGTGCTCTTGCATGACATAAAATGTATTTCATAGCATAGATCATGAACTAAGAACTTTGAAAACAACCATTTTAGATAATACATTATTTGTATTGCCATAATGAAAAGTATTATTTTTTAGATCACATTACATTTGTACATATATATGATAAAATTGTAGTACAAAACATAGAAATATAACTACTTTGATTTTTGCTTCTCCGTTTGTTAGTATAGTGCAGCTTAAGGATGTAGCAGCTGTATTTTAGCAAAAAATATGTGACAATTTATTTTAATGTGCCTTTTAAGAAATACAGTCTTTGTGAAAAGATATTTATTTCTAGATTTCAGAACTCTATTTTAGTACTAGAATATTCAATAACTTGAATTACTGAATATTCATAGACATCAAGCAACCCATGAAAATGTTTTACAGTATCCGATTTTGTGTTTTCAATTTTTTTCTGTAAGGGTGACTGGTGGTCACATGAGAAAGTACTGGAACATACCTTCCAACCACCTTATGACACTAAGAGCACCCAGAGGAGTGACTTCCAAAAACCAATATGTCCACTGATTTTGCCAGTCAAACACAGCAGGATGCAAAAGCCTTCTTGTGGAATAGGTAAGGTTAGTAGTGGTAAAACCCCTTTTTTATTACCTCAGGTTATTGCTATCAAATGTGTTAGATGTGCTGACACCTTGTGAGAAAACTACTTCTCTTCAGGAGGTCAAAGTATACACACAGCAAGTGTAGCCCTTGACAAGTTTGTTCATTATCCCTTCCTAGTGAACAGTTTGTCTCCAAACACATTTAATATAACATAAGGAAAATCATACTGATCATTAATAACACCAGCCTCAAAGTCAGAAACATAAGTAGCATTCCGCTCATTATTGTTGTCACCAAATTTAAAAATTATAACTATTAAAATAGTAGGTGACACTAAATGGCAGTATTTCTCAAAGTGCACTCTGAGGAGCACTAGTTTTGTATGATGTTTATAGACACAGCTCAAAAAAAAAACAGAAGTGGTCAAATAAGGTTTGTAAAAATAAATTTGAATTTCCAAAAAAGGGAATAAAGAATGTTGTGTTTCCCTCACTTATCGATCATCTCACCCTTTTTCAGATTATCTTATATGACTGGTGTCCCACAAAACATAATTTAGGAAATACTGACATAGACCATTAAATCAAACATTTTCAGATCTAAAATTGACAATGTCCTTATAACAAACTCACATTTTATTCAAGTTGAATCTGTTTCTTAACCCACATCCTAGTCATCTCTGCTTCTGGAGTAGGATTTAGCAAGTCTTAAACATGTGCTGGATCAAGTCAAAACAAAAATACATTAATTGAGTACCCACTCTGGTCCTCACCCCATACAAAAGTTCATAAGCTAAATTTCAAATAAGCTACTGTAACACGTGACAGTAGACAACGAGGAATTACTTTTAGAAGTCAAGAGCCCCTCACTTAATTTTAGCCTTCTGGCCTCTGTGATTTGGTCAGTCTAGTTAAGGATACAAAGGGCAGCTAGATTGAAGGTCAGGACACTAAGAAAATGGTCATATTCAGCATGATTTCCACCTCAAGAGAGTTAGTTAATGAAGGGGGCTAACTATTAAATAATCTGTAACAGAGACCTCTCCTCTAGAAAAATAATAAAGTTTTCACTTCTGATTCAGGATAGTAGACTGAGCACAAACATCTAAATTCCCTGCCTCCCAAGACCCTAGTAGATAGTAGCAAAGCAATAAACCCATAAAGGTGAAGAGAATGGAAGGAAGAACTTCCTGGAATGCAGGAAAAAGTAAAAGCCTATTGAGGATAAAAGAGAGCAAAGAAGCAATACCTAGAAGGAGATGCAGCAAAGAACCAAGCTGCCTGACAAAACCCCTGACACTGGGCTCAGTCAGCAGGCACAGCAGAAGGCAAGGATGAAAAGGAGACAGGGGGAGTCAGAGGGTTACTTGAAAGTCTTTCTCGTAAATAACATCTCCAGTCATGAGCACTCCACCCTATCCCAACATTACGACTGCTAAAGGCTAGTGTCTTGGCAAGATGTCAGCTACCACACCACTTCTTTTAGTGAATCAAGCCAATCCCCATTCTATTCCTAATTGTGAATGGACAACCAAATATTAGAATTATGCCAATTTTTTTAAAAAAGAGGTTTGACAAAGAAATACTCATAAGTAGGAGAAGAAGGAAGGAAGGGAGAGAGAGAGAAAGAAAGAGAAAAAAAGAAAGAAGGAAAGGAAAGAAAGAAACAACAATCAATAACTCATTGAACTTTCAAAAGGAGAGAACAGAACTGAAGCCAACAGAAGTGAGGAAGGGGAAGGGGGAGAAGGGTTAGTGAGAAATTGGTAAAGGGCCACAAAAAAATTATCACATTGTGTCAGACTGAATATGCAATTATCCTGAATTGAGCATCATGTACTGCACACAAGTATTGATATTCAATACTGTAGCTCACAGATATGTACAACCCATTATGTTTCAGTAAAAAAATAAAAATAATAAAAAGGTTTGGAGGATAAAGGCAAGAAAATATCACTGTGCATAAAACAACAAAGCAAAAACCTAGAAAATATGAGAGAAGAAAAGCGAAATGAAGGATCAGTTTTGTAGGTCCAACTTTTCTAGGGCTCCAGAAAAGAGAAGAGTGAAAATGAAGTGAGATAATAATCAAAACATAACATTTATTGAGCACATACTATTTGCCAGGCACTTTATAGGACTTTCTAAATATTAACTCATTCTTACACAAACCCTATGCAATATAATAGAGTAATAATACTATTAATATTCTCGTGTTTTAGATAAGTATGTTTAGGGGAGGCAAAATTTTACCTCTCCCTCTTAGGGTTTTTTGGCGGAGCCAGAGAATTAAATTGACACAAGACAGATTAATAGGAGAAAACTATACAAATTTCTTCAATACAAGTTTTCCATGGCAGGGGAAACTTCATAAGGAAATGAAGACCTAAAGATGCAGTTAGAGTCGAACACATATACTGAATTGGACAAAGTGTAGTAAAATCATGAAAGTATGACAGGGCAAAGGGGCTTGGGTAGTTAATGGGGTTGAGAAGTGACTAGGAAGATAAGGGTTAGCTTAGCAAACTTTGTGCAGATTTCCCTAAGCCTTAACTTCCTGTGCTTGACAGTAAGAATAACATTTTCCTTCTGGTATAGGGAGGACATCTTTCACGTGAGAATTTCATCTTCTGCTTTTAAGAAAAAGAGGGAAGGTCAGAATGCTTTCCTTGCATCTACTATTTTTTTAAGTGCTCTTAACTCAATATGGTCAATATGCCAGAGTGGCATATTTTGGGGGGGGGGGAGTGTTGCCCAAGTCTACACAGTGAATAAGGGTATTCGAAGCCAGGTAGCCTGACTCTAGTACCTGTACTCATAACCAGACTACGCAGCCTTTAAAATAATAAGAAATTTTCCTGATATAAAAAGCATTGAAGGGCCAGCCCGGTGGTGCAATGGAGAGTGCGCCGCTTGGGAGCGCGGTGGCGCTCCCGCTGAGGGTTCGGATCCCATGTGGAGACCGGTTCCCACTCACTGGCTGAGCGCGGTGCGGGCGCAACACCGAGGGTTGCGATCCCGTTACCGGTCAGTAAAAAAGACAAAAAAGGAAAAAAAAAAAAAAAAAGCATTGAAAGCGTCTACTGAGTGCTTCCAAGTATGAGAGGAAAAAAGATACATACCTACACATCATTAGGAAATTGCAAAACAACCACCATAAAGAGAAGATTCTAAACCTTTCCATAAAGAAAAAGAATAAGTCACCATTTAAGGAATAAGAATGAATATGGAATAATGCAACACTGATGCCAGGGCACAATGAAGTTAATGTTTTCAAAGTTCTCAGGGGTCATAATTTTTAACCTAGAAAAGAAGCTTTATTTGGCGTGAATACTAGAACCATTCTTTTCAAGTGGCACCAGGCATTGGACCCACGGAGAAGGAAATGACGTTCTAGGACAAATCATAGCCGCTTAGCTCAGTTGGTTAGCGCTCAGCCTTGTAACACCAAGGTCAAGGGTTTGTTCAGTTCCCCAGACTGGCCAGCCACCAAAAAAAAAACAAACAAACAAACCCAAAACAAAGCAAAAAAAAAAAAAAAAAAACTATAGACACAACATGGAAAGTTTAAATATGATTACATAACAGAATGTATGTTAACAGCCTTAATAAGGAAAGTAAATAAATATACAGTCGATAGAAGATGGGAAGTAGAAGAGAGAAGGTGCTAATGTCATTATTTAACATATGTGTAATCAAGAGATACTACCCAATGTGGATGAAGCAAGGAATAGAATTGTAAGGTTAAAGATCAAAAGAACCAGTATAAGAACCAGATTTATCTCTCCGACCTGACCTGTTCACTGAGTTTCAAGCTCACATTATCTAACCACCTACTTAACACCTCCTCTTGCATAACTCATCACCTTTTCAAACTTGAGATGGCTAGAATAGAACATTTCATTTCTTCCATCCAAACCTGTTTCCCCACCAGTCTTCCCCATCTCAGTGAATGCCATCGCCATTTCCCCGTGTGCTCAAAGTCATTCTAAAACTCTCCCCTTTCATTCCCCGTCTACATTCAATTCATCAGCAAATCTTTTTATTTATTTATTTTTTTGGCAGCTGGCCAGTACAGGCATCAAAACCCTGGACCTTGGTATCATCAGCACAACCCTCTAACCAACTGAGCTAACCGGCCAGCCCTATCAGCAAATCTTGACACCTCTATCTCCAAAATATACCACAAATCTGTTTCTTTCCATCTTCATTGTAGCCACTGTAGTGCAGCCACCTTATCCGGCTGTTTTCCTCCTCCATAATGTGTTTTCCACATAGTCATCAGAAAGGTCTTTTAAAAAACACCAATGATATTACATTCTTCCTTTAGTTCCTCCAGTTACTTCTCATTGTTTATAAAATTCAAATTTCTCACCATGGCCTATAGGGCCTTATTCGATCTGCCAAATCTACCTGCTTGCTCTTCTGTAGCTCATAATATGGGAATTTAGAGAAGGGTTAGACTAGGGAGGTAGATATACTCTCTGAAAGTTGTGCTTGTTTCCAAACCAATTTATGTCAGTGTACTTGTTATCGTATTACCATAATTTAATTACATATTCTTGTAAATTAAAATCTGAGTGTGAAAGGAAAACAGTTGTTCCTATAAAACATTCAATGTTCAATGCCCAAAGACTTGATAAAAGGTCAGTCACTAACTTCAAAATATGCCTATTAGGTATGGGCAAAATCACTGTAAAAGAGAAGCTGGAGTGAATTTTTAAGATATTGAAGGATTCTGCACTAATTTTGCTTCAAATGTGCCTTTACATGTTTATTCTGAGTTAAACAACCAGAAACTGGAAAGGATACATCAGAAGTGTGGTTTGTACAAGAAACACAAAGTGGAATTCCAACCAATGCACAAAGAAAATGGCCTTGGTATTCCAGTAAAAATTTGGTGAAAGAACTGATTAAACTGTTGACATGTGGAATATGACTCTCTGCTTTAACTGGCTTTTTTTGTTCACCAGCTAGTCCTTCTTGTATAAGGAGCAGTTTCTTCTGCTCAAG